CCATTGGGAAGACATTTGAAGGTATTTCAAAAAATACTTGGCAGGTGATTGGATCAATCTGTCTATCACCTTCTATCATGGGCCACTTCTGATTGGTTAACAATGGCTGGTACATGTGGAGCACAGCACTTCTGATTGGTGTGGATGACTGACACACAAGAAAAAAATGTACAAGAAATTGCAGGCTTTGCGATTTGATAATCATTTCAAATTTCGATTTAAAATCGATTAATCGTTCAGCCTTACTTGACAGCTAATGTCAGATATAAAATGTCAAGGTTCAGAAAAAGGAACATCAAAACAACAATTACACACATACCCTCTGGTTTTACCAGCTCCGTAGATTCCTGAGGTCATGTTTGAGGTTAATATTTGGAGACTGGTTGTAATTTCTGAATTGAATGTAGGCAAAGAGGACTTGATTACATTAGTACGAGGACATTGCTCACTCGTGTGTAACGCAAGAGGGCAGAGTCCAAATGGAGCGTGAAACATTTAATAACATGTCCGACTCGATTCACGTTCACCTCCACCGTCCGCTGAGTGAGCCAATAGGCTGCTGACCAGCTGCTGCCCAGCTGCTGCCCTCCTGCAGTGTGTGTTCAGCCCCGTGCTGGGAAATTCCACAAATTCGATTAGATCTCACCGGCTGCTCTCAGTCACTGTCCAACAAGTCTACAAAGATAACCGTTTCTCTTGTGACGACATGTTTGTCATAGCTGCGTCAGCGTTTGATAGATGTTGTTTATCCTTTCATGATCCGGGGGTATGGCATTTCTCCCCAGCAGGACCAGTCGAGGTTGAGTTTTGTGTAAACGTGTCTTTCTCTGTTCACAGACCATGACCGATGTGGTCGGAAACCCAGAAGAAGAGCGGAGAGCCGACTTTTACTACCAGCCGTGGGCTCAGGAGGCCGTCTGCCGCTACTTCTACTCCAAGGTAATCCAAATGATTCCCACTCCTATGTTTTGTCTTTTCTTTTTTGACACTTATTTATCTCAACAGCTAATTGATGAATTGTTCTGTATTTGTGTGCAGAAATGTAGCTTTCCCCGAGTTTGTCATATCACCCGTACAAATGTGATGACACCGGTATTGTTAGCTGTTTGTGATCCGATAGCAAGAGCTACAGATGTAAACATTTCTGAGAATAGTCATACATGCCAATAGTTATCAGAGTTTACTATAGCTATTTCCTATACACGTTTAAATCTGTAGTGTATATGCTCCACAAAATCAATAGGAAAACAATGAAGCAATCCAAATGGTTGACTTTTAGCAAATGTTACACGCTAACACTCTGTTGAATAATGTCAGCATTACATCTTAACACCAGTTCTGTAGCATGGCTGTAAACTCCTGCTTTATCATTTATTGAATGTCTCCTCAGTGCTTTGTGTCCTGGTGATTAGATGTTTCCTCGTGTCTCTCAGGTCCAGCAGAGGAGACAGGAGCTGGAGACGGCGCTCGGCATCAGGAACACCTAAACAAACGTTTCCATGGGGGACATCTAATGTGTGAGCGCGCGTGGGATGAGAAAAACAAATTCCTCCCAGAGTCTTCTGGCATAGATAGTAGTTGGCTTTACCGATATATAGGATGTCTTTGTTTTTATTTTTGGTTTATTCTTCACCCTGCAGCACGACTTCTGTTGCGCTCTTTTTGCTACTTCCACTTTTTTGTAATTCTTTCTTTTTTTCTCCTCACACCAGAGTTCCTGGAGCACAATATATTTTGCATGTCTCAGCCTTACCTTGAAGCATTCCTTTCATTTTGATACGTTGTGCACACAACAGTACAGATTGTACACAAATGAAAAAGCAGAGGGTGACTTTGATGCATTTTGGCCCTGATTCTAAAATGACCCTAAATCAGATGGAAAGCAAACTAACATTTGGCTCTCCCTGGCCCATTCTATTGGTTGTGATTGTGTTTGTAATCATTTGAGCTGCTTTGCTGCTCATTGGCTCCATGTGTCCTTTTTCTTAAGCTCTCATTGGTTGGTTTTGTGCCGTAGTCTGGTGTATGAGGGATGTTTAAAGCTAAATCATGGAAGAATATACAACTTTTGTAAAGGGTGCCATTTAGTATGAAGTTCTCCTTTTCTTTTCTTTTTTTGTTATCAATGATTCTTGTTTTTAAATATGTATTATTATATCAGTATGTGTCTTGTTATCTAGTACAGATTATCAAGGAAGTAGCTAGTATGAGTACCTCTAGTCTATATAGTTTTGTAAATACTGAGCAGTAAAAAAACTGAAGATGGATGTGAAGTATAAATGTATCTCTAATCCTGCAGATGTTTTTCTTAACCCTTTGTCTACGCTCAGATAGTTGAACCAGTATTTATATTATGGATCAGCCTCGCTCAGTGATTGGCCTCTCCTCGACATAAAGACGACAGTCACATTTGACGATTCGCTGCTCTGCGGGATGAAATGTAAACGGCATTCACATCGCCTGCAAGCTGGGAAAAGTTCAATATTCTGCTTTTCAGATTTGTGTATTTCTAAATATGTGCAGAGAAGCCATGAACACGATTTAAAGAGTCGTAGGTTTTGCGTAGGCTGGCTGAGGACTGACAACTGGTTGAGCTTAATGGTCGTTTCCCTGTTAGAGAGGGCAGAGGAGTCCTGGCTAAAATTTTACTGTGTGTGCATTTAATTAACAATTCCAAGAATACACTAATGTGGGTTTGGGCAGGTACATGATTTGAAATGAGCGGTGGGAACCTCTGGGATGAAATAAGCCACACTGGGGGAAACTGTAGTACTGTTTGAATCTGCAGACTTTTTCATGGACCAAACCTATTTTTCTGTATGTTCTTATGTTATAATAAAGGATATTTAAAATGTACCTTTGTGTCCAAGTTATTGGTTTAACTGTTTATGATTTTCAGGTGATTTGTTTGTATGTTCTAAATTTAAAATACTGCTCTAAAAGATGCAAAATATATCCTTTAAGTGTTACTAAAATGTCCCCAATTAAGTGCACTTTCACAAAAGACAAAGTGTCAATGAAAAAATCAGTGGTGGAAAAAGTACTGAAATTATTTACCAAAATACCACTACAACAATATTAAAGTTATCTACAAAAGATGTCCTCAATCCAAATCCTAGCCTTGTAAAATCATCAATAGCAAAATGTTCTTGAAAGTAAAAGAGTTGTTCTGCTGTAGCTGCTCAAGGTCGTGTTATAGTGTATCTGCAGTTGAGTTTAGTCCATTGTTTTTGACTTAAAGTGTCCTTGAAAAGTCATTAACATGAACTATCTGAGATTGGAGAGGGAATCACTTCTAGTGAAACTAACAACTCAAATACCTCTGAAAGCAACAAAGGCCCAGCTGGAGCTTTTTGCTTTCAGGTCGTAAGCAAAATAAGTCGTCAACCAATGATCTCCAACATGGCATTTTGTTTTATTGTCGTGTTCTCTTATATCAATTAATCTGAAAATGAACTACAACTGTTAGACACAAAGTAAAGTACTAACAACTGTATTTCAATATGAAATTAATTTTGGTAGAAGTTTAAAGGTAAAATGAAAAAATCCACGTACGTAAGTGAATGACAGTTCTCTCAGAATAACTCTGAAATATAGTAATGAAAAACATGTAATTATGTAGTTTCCCCAACTTAATTTCACTCTTGAACTCTAAAACAATCTTTGGCAAGGGAATCAATTATTAACTGGCTAGAAATGGTTGTAAATTCATTTTCTGCCAACTGGTTAATTCAGTTTTATGTATTATGGACCGGCATTTCCTATGATTGTCGTTCACTTCCTCATTACAAGAATGCAATAACCCAATGAATTAATTTCACCAACAAATGTTTAAACGTGAAATTGCAAGTGCAATTATTTTTTCTTAATTTTAGATTTTACTTGTGTTATATTTCATCACATTTTAACCTTCAAGGTGTTGATATTCTATTTTTTTTGTATTACCAACAACTCTTTCTATGTAGTTGCTATTCATAAAATAGGGCTACTTCTCAAATTGGTCAAATTGAGTTAAAACTGGATTATTCAGTGTGTGTGTGTGCGTGCGTGCGTGCGTGTGAGAGAGAGGTATAAAGAGAACGAGTGTGTCCCTGAGAGGCGAGCGAGCAGACCAACCAGCCGCAGAGGGCGGGCCAGCCTCAGATGTGTGTCCGGTATAAATACACTTTGTCCCGGCTTCAGTATGTCTCCGCACCCGCAGCAGCTCCGTCTGGAAGGTCAAACACATCATGGCAGCACCGAAGAAAATCTGTGTGATCGGCTCTGGTAACTGGTGAGTAAAATCACTACTTGTATTAACTTTGAGTAGTTTGAAGCTGAAATAGAGAAGTGTGTCTTCTGTATTGAAATGAAATATTGGAGGAACATAGCCTATGCAACTTCATCCTTTGTAAAGCTGAAACATAATTAATATAGAGTTAAGAACTGCAAAATGTATTTTCCTTTCAATAGGGTTTTAAACTTGAACTCCTAAAATATTTATTTAGAAGTCATTTCCCGCTTTTTATAACTACAATGTTTGTGTTGAGTCAGCCTTCAGATGTTGATATCCCTCAGCCTGCACGACATAGAGCAGTCTGTAGTATTAAGAAAGATACTTAACATAAAAGTAAAGTGGTAATAATGGACCTGCATTCAAACCTGTGCATACAAAAAAGTAGGACTGTAGTATTATAAGCAACTTGTAACAGACATGTTATGTATAGAAGTACTCATGATGTAGTGTTGTGACTCTTGTCAGTTAATATTAAATCGTATTTAATAGTCATTATTATAAATGCACTAACATGTATGCAAAATTATAATTCTGTTGCTGGTCAAGAGAGATTTAGATACTTTTGGTACTTCATTCATCATGTATGCAAAAACTCAATCTGCAAAGTAAAAACAGTGGATTTAAAGAATAAAGAAGGATCAAATGGAAAATACTTAACTCATTTCTTGAATAAGGAAAGTTGTGACAGGAAAAAAGTCAAAATGATATTGGAGAAATAATCAGGTGGTGGACCGTTTGCCAGTGTAGTCTATCCTATTCTCTATTTGATATAAATACAGTTTAAGTGGCTGCTCTTAGCTTATGTTGATATTAAATAGCCTACAGTCTTAAAATACATCTCCTCTCTTGTCAGGTCTTCTTTTTCTCACCTGTAGTATTATTCTTGTCCGGGAAAACAGCTGAAGAACTATTCCAGTTATGTGACACTGAATGTGTTCACTACAAATGTCAAGGGTTACGTGTAATTCAACAACTGTTCACTATTGGTAGTAGATACACTACTGTCCTTTTAGCAATCACCAACTATTAGAAACAATCACAAATAATCTAAAACAAACTTTTGTTATTTAAAAGCAAATCACTTTTTTTGGTAAAAATACATGAATTAAAAAAAGTCAGTCATTTCAGAAAACAATTGTCGTAGCAGCTTTAAAATCAGCTGTGGTCTTCTAGAGAGAATAATCAGTTAGATAACAAATGTACAGCAACACAATATTCGTATTAGAAGCAATAAGGACCTTTATATTTGCAAGTATGATGTCTCCTCCAAAGAGAACATCCTGTTCTGAGTGAAACAGTCTCTCTTTATAAGATACATTACAACATCATTCTGGGAGGCCAGCTGATACCAGGGGGCACTGTATGCAAAACCACAAGACAAGACAAATGGGATATACAGATACCCCTCAGACACAGTATGCAAAAACCTCACCCCCTAAACACGTCTGTTGATCACACATAGATGTAAGGTTCACTCCCAAAGAGATGACCTAATCGGAGAAACTAAGGTTAGCAATGCCTCTTAAGCCCCACGGACCTGGTGCCGGGGCCGAAATCGCGTCATTTGCAGGAAACAACGTCTAAGGAACCTTAATATTTAATAAACTATGAACANGACAAATATTGCGATTGCAATTCGATTTGCGATATTTGTTTTTAAGCAACCCAACGGAAGTTTATTGTAACATGCGGCCATATCTCCGGCTAGGAAGGTCGCATCAACATACTCCCGTCTCTAGCACCCCCGCAGCCCGAGCTACGAGTGAAAGAACTAAACTTACATGAAACTTCCGTTGGGTTGCTTTAAAGTCAAGCTTCAGTTTAAGATTCACCCTGTAATAGAAACATGTGATGGAGACCTTCCTAGCCGGAGATATGGCCGCATGTTACAATAAACTTCCGTTGGGTTGCTTAAAAACAAATATCGCAAATCGAATTGCAATCGCAATATTTGTCAGAAAAATCGCAATTAGATTTTCCCCCAAAATCGTGCAGCCCTACTGTCAAGTAGACGTGTTTTATTGACATTCCTCAATGTTTTGTTATAGTTGCTAAGTCTGAATGGGTTTTATAGACAGAGTCATGCACATTTATACGTCCCAAAAAAACTATTTTGTTTAATGGGCTTTATAAAAATCTGTATAGCACATGACATCTTCTATTGAGAGAACTTAAATTCAAATAAAAAACAAGTCTACAGACAGAAATGACGTTACTACAAATGGAAAATATGCATTACAGGCCAAATGTAGTCGGCAAAAACAACTGTGATAAATAATATTAGCAAGTTGGTGGCGCAGCAGCAGCAATAGTTAAGAATAGTCACGACAGTAAACTATTTTTTTATCCAATAATGGATTTCTCTGCTCAACATTTACACAAAATGGCAGTACGTTTACTTTTCTGAATTACTGACACAATAACTATATATTATCTTTCAAACTTGACCCAATTTAAAATCTCACAAAACATGAACGGATGCACAGTTCATTGACATCTTTATTGTTTTGACACAGAAGCAACATGGCGTCTGGAGAGATACCGGGCTCCAGATCAGATCCGGCGGTGACGGAATGACTCACCTTGAGGTCTCGGCACTGGGACTGCAGCCAGTCGTTGATAAAGCCCTGAGGGTCTCTGGCAAAACTCAACATGAACTCTCTCTGGGTCTTCAGCTGGTTTATAGTCTCAATGGTTTCATGGATCTGAGGATAATAAAAACAGAATAAAGAGAATGTTTAACAATCAAAACTGTTAATAAGGTATTAAATATGATTAATAAATGGAAGGATGGAGAACTGGCGTTTCTTTAATAAGCCTTTTACATCCAGTATTCTTCTGATCAGCAGTTTCTAAAGTGTTAAACAGCAGCAGTTGTGAGGCATGTTTCACAGGACAGTATTGAGAGAGAAACTTTAACAGGCTTTGCGACAAACAGTTTCTGATATCAGGCAGTCGCCACAATAAAGTCACAGAATGAATGGCGCCTATCAACTATAAACAAGCTCCCTTTAAAACACGGCTGACACAACAAAGACTAAACAGTAGGGCCGTCTATAGGGGGAGGTCTCCTCGTTTTATCAATATGATTGAAGCCAAGGTAATAGCAGCTAGCAGGAGGTCAAGACGACCTGACTGACCTCTAAAACTCTTAAAAGGAGGCAGCATTTCAAAAGGCTACAATTTAAGAGAGCAGATATGTGTGAAATTGCCCTCAGCAGGCGCACCAAAAAACGACTCGCTCGATGAATAGTAAAGGGATCCAATACAAAAAAAGCCCGTTCACATTGCATTTAAAGCGAGCGCTTGAAATGGCCTTTACGCAGCTACAGCAGATGGAAGTTGTCACAAAGCGTTAAGTTAAATGAAGTGCTATTTCAAAGTACAACACCCCAAAAAATAGTCCTTCCTCTCTTTGTGAGACATTGTTTGAATTCAAGATCGTCAGCAGGGATTTAATAAATCAAAGCGCCCCCAAAAGACACACTGCAGGAAGTCATGAAACTCTTTTCCTCCGCACAGGGAGGGGACACATCCGCCCTGCTGTACCTTGTTGTCCAGTCCGGCTATTTCCTGCTGACTGGCAGTGGACAGCAGGAAGGAGTTCATCTGGGTCTTCAGCGTGTCGTCCACCTCCACGTCAATGTCGTAGCAAGCCGTCTTCTTTTGGTCATTAGGGTCCACACTATGAGAGAATACAGCATATTTAGTTTTAGTAGCATGTGGATATGTCACATGAGCAGCAGGAGATTCAGAGACAATGACAAACGGGGAAAGCCCCATTTTGCACTCGCTGTAATGAGGTTACCTGATCACATGGTTGATGATGATTGGTTCTGGGGGCATCAGGAGGGCATGCAGGCGCTGAGGGATCTCAGAGAACTTCATTCGCTGAGTCTCAAAGATCTACAGAGAAATTAAAAACACACTTTGTGAAGCAATTTCGATTTGGATATTAGGAGGCTTGTTAATATCATTAAAAGTAATATAGTGCTGCAGGGAGGATGTTTTTTTTTAAGTTACCCTCACAAGTATAAGGCCAGTGGGATTTTCCATGCAACTATGTGTAGCCCCGCAGCTTAACTTCTACTGTGCCACTTACTTCATCTACTCAATGTTTATTTTTTACGGAAACAAATATATAGCCACCTCTGTCCCGTTCTGTTTTTTTATCCTGGGGTGTGTTGGTCTCTCTGGTATTAGAATCTGTTGTCACCATGTTTACAGATAGTGTGGGTACAAGAGTAAAAAAAAAAAAAAAGGGATAAATGAGCTTTAAAATGAATGACCCCGTTTCATCTTCACCACATCACAAATCACCGTTTTAGAAACAAGAAACTGGAAGCTGACAAGCAGTGTATTTCATATGTTGACATTGTGGGAATTCAGCGGTCCACAACCTTCTGTTTGTCTCACAGAATGAAATGCGGCTGGAAACCGGCCAGTGCTCCGGAAAGAAGAGTCTCCATACAAGGACAGGAGAGAAGGACTGTTCACACCAGGAGCAGGAACAAGCCGGCCACATTTTGTTTTCATCCAGTTAAAAGAAAAGAGGGTATTTTAGGGTTAGTTGTAGATTTCAAGGTGGGTTCTGCTACTGACCTGCTGCAGGTATTTGTCACAGTTGATGAACTCGCGCTCATGAGGGTCCTGGAGCTTGTGGGTCTTGACGTACTGCCACAGAGCCTGGATGATGACAGGTCTGGTCTGGGTGTGGATGCCCAGCATACGAGCCAGCCGGGGGTCCAGCTTGAACTGAGGGGGCTGATGGGTACAGAGAGAGATTACAGATTAAAGCCAGGTCTATCTGCTATACATGTTAATTGTCCCTTTGATTAACCCTTGTGCTTCACTATGAACATAACTGGCTTTTCAATAATTGTGGCTGTGTTAAGGCTGACGGCAGGACTTTAGGCAAAGGTGTGATTTTCAAATTTTTATAAAATGTACAACATCAGCTACTAATCGATAATTGTGTGAAGCCAGATTACAGACATTATCCCTGTGGATGCAATTAATACTATCGATTATGATCCCACAACCTTACAGCATACATTCATAAAGGCTGTTAATGAAGAACCCTGGTTTAACAATTGTAGTTCTTTTTTTGTTATTTCCTGGTTGAGCACTTTTCTCAGGTTTACCCTACGTGACATATGTATTTTTCTTGTTTACTAAACACACAATAGAAATGTATTTAAATCAATGCTGTTCATAGTTATTTAAACACTACAGACTGAGAAAAAACACCGTTAATAATAATAAAGTAATTCACTTTTTGGGGTGGGTGGGTTATTATATAAACCAACTGTCATCTAAAATATTGATTGTCAAATGAAATAGATATTTGGGAATGTTTAACCTGTTAAGCGCCAAGCCTGTTTTTCAGGCCTCAGGCTCGAAAATGACATTCCCAGAACAAATGACTACATCTTCACTTCTAAAAAGGGGTAAATGAATAATCTTTTTTCTCAAAGCAATGATAAACCTGTGAGTTGGATGTAGAAAAGTCAGAATCAATATAAATGTTTTTATTTTAAAGTAAATTCAGATTAAACATAGTAAAACAAATTAAATTATTGTGTCCGTCCAAAAGAAAAAAATTACTTATAGTGAAAACCACCCTTGAATGATGGGATAGTAGACTAAAAGCTTTAGGAATCCAAACTACCGTAATTTTCGGACTATAAGGCGCACCTGAATATAAGCCGCAGCAGCTAAATTGAATGATGTGTACATATATAAGCCGCACTGGACTATAAGCCGCAGTGCAATAGTAGCTACAGAACATGTACTGTGCTGTGTAAACTGTACTGTATCACATAGCGTTTCAGACACAAACTTTTCAACTTTCAAACTTAAACGGTGCGCTCCCAGCGCACGTACCGGCAGTGATCAACAGCAGCGGTTTTCAACCAGTGGTACGGGGNAATCCATAGATTAGCCGCACCGTTATATAAGCCGCAGCGTAAAAAAATGGGGGGAAAGGCGCGGCTTATAGTCCGAAAATTACGGTATAACATAATAGTACCCTGTATCAAGATTGATGCAAAACAAGTGACATTTGACCTTTTAGAGAGATTTAGCACAAAAGAAAAACACCTTTGGGGTCATTTGCCGTTTCTCTGGAACCCATTGGTCGATTTTGGTGATTGACATCTCTTTTGAACCGTTACGGCCCGTCCACACTCCAGCTTCGACAGCTTCAAAAACGGTTTCCAACGCGTCTGCCCATTCACTTTGAATGGGGTGACGTCACGTTGCCTCGCTTTTCGCCGAACTGAATTGTGGGTAGCAGAGCGGAGCTTTCCTGGCGTTTCAGGCTGCAAAAGTTGAACAATGTTCAACTTCTGAAGCCGGAGACGCCGGAGTAGCCAGCGTCAGCCAATCAAATCCCGTTTATGCAAATCTGACAGTTCAATCGCTAGCCAATGAAACCGCGTGCAAGCTGGGAGAGCCAGACCGCAGTTCATTTCCTCATATTCCAAACGAGAAATTACGGTAGCAAATCCCCGGTTCTTTACGACCAGAACTATTTACCGGGATACCAACCGGAGGAACCAGGCATGGAGGGAGGTGGCAGAGACAGTGGGTGAAACTGGTAGGTTTCCGCCTGGTTTGGGGAGTTTTATATATATACCGG